AGAATGTTCAATTTGTTTCTGCTCCAATTTCCTGCTGCTGTTTAGGAGGAGGTGGACTGAAAAGAATTGATCATATTCAAGAATTAAAAAAAAAAAGGAATCACTAAATTAATTTCCCAATAAATTACCCTGTACGGAACAAAGATATAACTGTAGATGCTGTGCAAACTTATACAGGCCATGTTTCTAATTCTCTGTTTATAAAATGGGTACCTTGTAGGGTTGTTATTGGAAGTAAACACCATAGTTTCTCAAAAAGAGTAAGAAATTTTTAATTCAGTTATTTATTCTTTCCACAAATACTATTGAGCCTCTATTATATGATAGGAACCAAGGAAGAGGCAGTATGCTCCTAAGGGGTTGACAAAAAAAAAAACAAACTAATAACTCTTGACTGAGATATTATAAAGGATTTAGATTCCATCTAATAGATGAGAAAACTGAGAACCAAAATGACCAAGTGATGGCTTGAGATCACAGGGTTAGCACTGGGACCCTGGTCTTCTGGCTCCCATCATAGTGCTCTCTGCTGTACCACCCTGTAACACCCTAGAATTCTGTAGCAGCATCAAGAAAACTAGGAGAATTCTTGGGTATTATCTTATTTGTGCTCATTCTTCTTGCTCTGTTCCTGAACTTTCCCAAATACTTTCCAATTTCACTAGCTTTGTGTCATGCCACTCTCCCCAGTGCACACTGACCAACCTGTCCTTGCCTCTCTGGGTTTACTGTCTTTCCCTGGAACATTCCTCCTTCCCTTCCAATTCATGAGGTTTTAGTCAGGCTGTCCGCAGTTTTATCTGGAGGCTCAACTGAGGAGAATATTCACTACCAAGCTCACTCATGTTGCTAATGGCAGGATTCAGCTCTTTGTGGGCTCTCGGACTGACACCTTCAGCTCCTTGCTGATGGCCAGAAGCCTCTCAGTTCCTTGACCGAGGCTCTCCACAGGGCAGTTTACAACATGGTAGCTGACTTCCCTCAAAGAAAGCCAGGGAGAGATGACATCTGAGACAGAAACCACAGTCCTTTTGTAACCTAATCTTAGAAGTACCATTCCATCACTTTTGCTATATGCCATTTGTTAGTCACTAGGTTCAGCTCACACTCAAAGGAGGGGATTACATGAGGGCATAACACCAAGAGGCAGAGAAGACTTTGGGCCACCTTAAAGGCTGCCCACCACACTTTTTGTTACCCTCTAGACCATATCTGGGCACCCTACTAGATGTTTTCTTTTTCTTTTTTTCTTTCAGACAGGCTCTCACTCTGTTGCCCAGACTGAAGTGTAATGGCACAATCACAGCCACTGCAGCTTCAAACTCCTGGGCTCAAGTGATCCTCCCATCTCAGCCTCCTGAGTAGCTGGGACTACAGGTGTGTGACACCACACTCAGCTAATTGTTAATTTTTTCGTACAGACAAAGTCTCCCTGTGTTGCCCAAGCTGGTTTTAAACTCCTGGGCTCAAGCAATCCTTCTGCCTCAGTCTCCCAAAGAGCTGGGATTACAGGCATAAGCCACTCTACTAGATGTTTTCTTAGCACCCAATAGATCACTTTCAATTACCCCAATTGTAATTGAACAACTAGTTGTGTAATTCATGGTTCAATTTTATACTGTCTCCTCAAGAATAAAAATTCACTGGGTGTAGTGGCTCATGTCTGTAATCCCAGCACTTTGGGAGGCCAAGGTGAGAGGATCACTTGAGCCCAAGAGTTCAAGACCAGCCTGGGCTACACAGTGAGACCTCATCTCTACAAAAAAAAAAAAAAAAAAAATAGCTGGGCATGGTAGAACATGCCTGTGGTCCCAGTGTTTGACCTTTTGACTTAGCGTTTTATTTGCTGGCATACTTCTACGGTCTTGCATTCCTTCTCCCCTGATTCTTCCGTTGGGGTGGGTTGTCAGCATGTGCAACTGCCTGCCAGTGCTTGGGAGGGGAGCGTGCAGAGTGGCTTTACTGGAGTTGTACACATGCTCACTTGAGGCATTCTTCCCATTCTGGTGGAATGCCCCCAGAAGGTTATACCGGTTAAACACTGCCATTTTGCCCTTTAATGCACATGCTGGACCCCACTCACTCAATTCCTGAGATCTTATTGAGAAGCTGCCACCAGTTTCAGGTGTTTTATCTATTGGAAAGCTGCCTTTCCCTAGTGCTGGTTGCAACCAATTATTATATTAGAGAGGGAGCATGACAACTGCCTGACAATCACCCGATGGTTGCCTGACATTCCTGGTAAGGTGCAGGGGAAGCCCTGTCCTGCCTCACGCATGCCTGGCTAGGTACCTACTATAACAAGGTGAGAGGATCACTTGAGCCCAGGAGGTGGAGGCAAGAGTGAGCTGTGATTGCACTACTGCACTCCAGCCTGGGTAACAGATTGAGACCCTGCTTCAAAAAAAAAAAAAGAAGGATGTAATTTTCACAAACAATGGGCCCTGTGGTCTTGCCTACCACTAAACCTTTGGTCCAACCACTGTATTTATACATGGAAAACAAGATACAATTTTTGATTGAACTATAAGGTAAGCTCAGCAACCCCTGAAGAATTATTTGGCTGTTGTCACTACCTCTCACCTGTGAACCCCGAAAATCTAAGACAGGTCTCAGTTAATTTAGAAAGTTTATTTTGCCAAGGTTGAGGACGCACACTGTAACACAGCCTCAGGAGGTCCTGACGGCATGTGCCCAAGGTGGTCAGAGCACAGTTTGGTTTTACACATTTTAGGGAGACATGAGATATCAATCAACATATATGTAAGATGAACATTGGTTCAGTCTGGAAAGGTGGGAAAACTCGAAGCAGGGAGGGGTTTCCAGGTCATAGGTAGATAAGAGACAAATTGTTGTGTTATTTTTTAAGTTTCTGATTAGTCTCTCCACAGGAGGCAATCAGATATACATTGATCTCAATGAGTAGAGGGGTGACTTTGAAAAGAATGGGAGGTAGGTTTGCCCTAAGCAGTTCCCAGCTTGACTTTTCCCTTTAGCTTAGTGATTTGGGGGCCCAACATATTTTCCTTTCACATACCCGATCTAGGTAAAATCTATTTTATGTGTCCTTTCAACTATAAATTCAGGCTCCCAAAGGGCATAGTCTTACTCAGGTGGCAGAAAAACTGTAATCACTGCAAATGCCAAGTTTACCACATACTCATTTCTTTTTTCTTTTTTATATATTTTAAGAGATTTATTAAAAACATTTAGTGACTGCAGAAACCTCCAATTTTCTCTAGGTCTTGACATACATAAAAACGGTTGATTCACACTGAACTTCTCCACGATAAAAAGAAACAGAGCAGAAGCACAGACCAGATTGCAGTGGGTTGGGGAGTGAATCACAGAATTACAAAAATAGGAGGGACTGCTCTTATCCTCGACAGGAGTTTTAAAATCAGTCTTTGGTTAGCAGCATTTTTATACCGTATAGTAACATTTTCATACCTATACTATGAATTATAAATATAGTATAATTCATATTACAGAAGAGAGTAAAAGTCACTGTCAGGATACCTTTTACAAAAAGCAATTCACAAAAGGGAAATCTGAATGCCACTTTCACAAATGAAAAATATTTGAACAGTAATGAGAGAAATAAACATTTAAACCACAGTGAATTACCATTTTATACCCATCCAATTGGCAAAAACAAATTTAAAGTTGGAAAACACCAACTATGATGATAAACAGACCAACATAACCCCTCAAACACTTGTAGTAGAGAGACAACACAGCACTGTAGCTGAAAGCACAGACTCTAGAGCCATTGTGAATGGTTTCAAGTTCTTGCTTTACTTCATAACTAGCTATGTGACTTTGGGCAACTTACGTAACATTTTGGTGCCATCTGTGAAATTCGAATGATGATAATAAATCCTACCTTGAGAGGACTAACGTGAGTATTAATGAGTTAATATAACATGCTACGTATTTGCTAGTATTATTATTATTGAAATAGAATAATGACTTTAGAGAGCAATTTGACTAGTGGTAATACAGTTGAAGCTGTGCATAGCATACAACCCAGCAATTTTACTTCTAGGTACATACCCCAAAGAAACACTTACATATGTACGTATTTTTTTTAAATCTATGGTATATTCATATAATGGAATACTAAATAGCAGTGAAAATAAATAAAGTAGTGCAGTAGTTCTCAAACTTTAACATGCACTATAATCACCTGGAGAACTTGTTAGAACACAAATTACTGGGTCCTACCTTCAGTTTTCAATTCAATAGGTCTGTAATGGGGCTCAAGGGTTGGCATTTTCCAAATGATGCTGATACTGCTGTTCCAGGACCACACTTCTAGAATCACGGAATTGGACCTGCATTGATCAACATGGACAAATCTTACAAACAGAATGTTGTATGGAAAATGCAAGTTGCAAAAGAATACCTATGCTTTGATACCACTTATGTAAAGTTTTTAATATGAAAAATAATTTTACTACATGTGTATACATATCACTTATACACATGCAGTAAACATTTTGAATAAGATCACAAAGCTAGTCAGTTATAGGTCTAGGATGTGTACCTATGTGTAACTGTGAAATTACCTTTGCAAATTGAAACCGCCTTTGCAAAAATTCTATCAGTGAAAAAATTATAGCAGTGGGGGAGATCTGATCTAGCCAAATCCCATCTTGCCTTTAGCTTTCAGTTTGCCCTTAATTATTCCTGGGCTTAAGCCAAGATAACTTTGGGAGACATTTAGTTTAATGGTTTAATAATTATAGTTCTTCCCCAAAACTCAACTGCCTTTGTAAAGCTACTGAGAAACCACCAGACTAGGGGGATAAATGAGCCTGAATTCTGTTAAGGTGTAGACATAAATGATTGCCAGCCATTATTCCAGAGGTCACAAGATATGCAGCTTCTCCAATTACTCCTGCAGATAACAACACTATTGTAGATTCTAAGATTGGCCTTTTGAGGTATCTTTTTAAGTTTCTTGCATGTTTAACTACCCCGATAGCTCCACCTAGACCCACCAACTGTTCCCGTGGCTCCACCCAGAAACAACTCAGTAGGCAGGAGGACCATCTCCTATACCCTCAATCAGTCAGCAGCAAGCACCCATTGCCTAGCCACCCCTACCCCTTTCCCCAAACTACCTTTGAAAAAAACCCTAGCCCCCAAATGCTCCAGGAAGCCAATCTGAATAACAATAAAACTGATATGAGTAATAATAAAACCTCTTCCATTTTTCCACTCAGTGTTGTGTAAAAACTCTTGCTCTATTGCAATTCCTATACCTTGATAAATCAGCTGTAGCCAGGAAGCAGGCAAGAATAATCTATTGGGCCATTACATCTGGATCTAAAGGCCATGGGTTTTCCACTACAAGCTAATTAACAAGAGGTATCCTTTCCCCTCAGAAACAACTGGACAAACCTCTATAGAGTCTATGTAAAGAACAACTAAAGAAAATCTGGTTATTACTTAGCCTAGTATACTTATCAGGAAATCAGCAAGTCTTTCTCTGATGTTCCTGAAATTGTAATCCCCACCTTACAGTTCTATCACTTGTTTTCTAAATATTAATATACAGTAAAAATCAGCTGGCTGTGTGCTATGGAAAAATCTGGAGGAAAAGATAACTTGAAAAATACACTTTTTTGACTCTGCTTGCTACTGAAAAAAAAATTTTTAAGAAAATATGCTCTTCCCTTCCTAAAATTAAAGTGAATCCACAGAAGATGTGTTTGGTGAAGTGTCTGGTGCTGAATACAAAGTAGAAAGGGCAAACTGACACAGCCTTAGAGCCTGGATAAAACCCTTGTGTCTTGAAAGCTCAATTGTGGGAAATCTGGAGGGTCAGATCTATCTCTGATCCGTCTATGTATCTTCTGCACCTTGCACATAGTAGGGGCCTGACAGATAAATTATGCCAACCCATGCGTGCATGCAATAATCCAATCCACAATTAGGAACATTGTGCCAAAAGGGGACCCACCTACTACAAAGAAAAAATTCCTAGCTTTCTGTGACTACTCCAGTCTTTCTACTGCCTTTGCTGACGAAAACAAAGAAGAGAGGGCTTCGGTATTCAAATACTGCCAGTTCCTCAGTGAACTCAAAAAATGCTTACTCTCGAAATGCAAGGAACCCCCATGAGGATAAACATGTGAGGTTACCTGAATTCCCTAGCAAAGGACGCGACTACTTCCGGAGCCGCACCGGAACCCCTTGGCGGACTGTGTGGGTTCCTGCGGGAACGATTTAGGAATAGGACTACTTCCTGCTTCTGGACATGGGCGGGTGAAGGGAAAGGAAATAGCTTTAAGAGCGGCATTTTGCCTGCGCTAACAGCAGTAGAGGAGGCGGCAGAGAGGAGTGGCGGGCGGAGTAGACGGTGGAGGCTGCGGCAGAGAACAAAGTGTCAAAGCCGGTAAGTGAGCCAGCCGCCTTAGAGCAGGGAACAGCGCATAGCGCTCCAGGGCTCGCTTTGCAAATATGTGGTCCCAAGTTGCTGAGCTGCCCCATGGGGTCAGGGCCGTGCTCCGTCGGTCGCTTGTCAGACGGCGCTGGGAAGAGGCTGTTGGGGCGCCGGGGCAGGGCGTCGCGGAGCTCCGGAGTGCGCTCTCGCAGGCTGACAGCCTATCTCGTAGCCAGAGGAGGCCCTGAGCAGTGTCCTGCCTGGTAGTGCTGGGGTTCCGCACCCTGGACAGCTTCCCCAGACAGTGTTTGGAATTCAGGGAAGGAAGAAAGTAATGTGCGCCCCCATTTAACCCTTGGGACCTGGCGAAATCTCCTACGTGGGTAGTGAACATTGTTTCGGGGACCGAAGGATATGCTTGTAAAGAGTGTTAGTCTGGAGCCATACTTTCCCTGCCCTGTTCAAGCTCCCTGGGCTGTCGGAAGCGGAGTTGTTTGTTTGTAAAGGCGAATGCTGACGCCTCCTGCTCCTGTCACTTCGGGACAAGTTAACAACCTTCAGATCCGTTGTTAAAGCAGCGTGTTCCATATGTGATCTATCAGGTTAGTACTGCTGTGGGTATCTGGTGATTGCTCTGTAAATTTACTTGATGGCGAGATCACAGTTAAATATGTCCAAACACTTTTTGAAGAGAAGCAATACTGATCTAACAGTCAGGACTGTTTAGCATACTTTCCCTTACCTTTACATTTAATCGTTTTAGCATGCACAGTAAGGATGGTAATCTTAAATGTATTAGATTAAGTTACTGTGCAATCTGCAAAAGGCCTGTGGTATAATAGGATAGGAAACTTTTGTAACTGACGAAGTGAGTGAAATTATTATATAAAGATTGTTACTGTAAAGATCAGAAATCACTTTTATTAATTTCCTGCTTTTCTGTTGTCTTAGGTTCGGCTTTAAAGTGTGGTGAAGGGTACTTTTCATGGTGCATGGAAGGAAAGCCAATGCGCAGGTAGGCATTTAGGAAGAAAATCTTTGGTTTCACTCATTAAAATTCATCATGTAATAATTTAAATTTTTAAAAAGGCGTTTCAATTGTAATAAATTCTGCTTGCAACTAATGAGTCTTGTTCTAAAATAAATCAAAAGTAATATTAAGAATTAATAGCTTTTTAATAGAGTAAAATATAGAAGTTAAATTTCTGAAAAGTGCTGCGGATTGTATATACTGTTAAACACAATTTTCCTTTTTTCACCTTTTTTTTACAGTAAATCATTAAGTGCACTATGATACTATGTGGATTTATTATAATTTTCAGTCCCCTATAAAATGTAGAGAATTCTGTTGCCATATAAGAATCATAATTATTTATAATACAGTGTACTGCATGCCTAATTATGGTTTTGGTTATTTCCTTAATGTTCAATAATAATAAAGCCTACTCACATTTGTTCTGTTAATTAAAATAGCTGCATTGCAGGAAAGATTGTATAAGAACTAAAAAAGGTATTAGACATAATAACTTAGTCCGTAGAAAAATAGAAACAATGTCTGGGAAAATATAGACAATTAAATATGCCCTTCCAACCCTAGAATTTAATAATGCTCTTTCTCAATATGTTCTATCAAATGAGACTAGAATCTTTATTGATGCAAAATCAGCCCAGTTCTTTTTTTTGGTTTTTAAATTTGTTTTCTATTTATTTAACTCTATTTAATCATTTGTTATTTAACATCAAAGATAAACAACTTTGGCAGTTCTTTTAAGAGAAGAAACATTTTATAATGGGAATATGACTTATAACTCAGAACTTGGAGCAAGAATCAGAATGTATATCTTTTTCCAAATCTGTTATTTATCAGTTGACATTGAACCGTTCATCTTCTCTGTACCCCAGTTTACCTCTTTAGTGTATCTGATCAGGATATTGGGGATTAATGAACATTTGCAAATGCTTTAAGATCTCTAGATGAAAAGATGTTATCAAGATGAAAAATACGTTATCTTTTTTATATTTTACTCTATAATAGGAATATTTTACCACAATGTACATGAAAAAATTAACAACATATATTAAGTGCTTCATCAATTCAATTCTAACATTATTGCAAAAGATGAGATTGTGTCTCATCTCCAGCTACCATAAAATGTCATATCTTATGTAATTGCTAAAATAAGAGCTTATTATTTTTTAAAAGAATGGCAGAGTGTGGGAATGTTTTTGGTTTATCAGTAGTTTCTATATAAAATATTAGCTTAATCATTCATACCTGCTCTTTTTTTCTTCCTTTATTACATAATACTGTCAGCTATTCAAAATCATATTGGATAATTCTAATGCCGTTAATTGTTAAGTTACAGCTCTTTCTTCATCACTATCAGTTGGCCAGAGCCTAGACTACTCACATTGATCTCTGATCTTTCACCTGCTTCCTACATTCAATTGTGGTCACACCTTCCTATCCTTTTCTTATTGGGCTGTCATTTTTGCTGATGCAACCCAGAAGGCAGTCTCTGTAATATTGGGTTTATACTCAGCTGCTACTAAAGAAGTTTTGAGTGAGAAGTAACTTTTTCTACTGAGATTATTTGAATACATGTTCATTCTGCCTACTAGATTGTGAGCTCTTTGAGTCTGATGTCTTCATATATTTGCATCACTAGCACCTAATGATTACTGAATAATTGTTTGAATAGGACTGAACAATTTCTACAGACTTTCCCAATCCAAAAAAAAAAATCTATGAACAAGAAGAGACTGAAAATTTTTGTTAAAGGTATTCTAATTTCTTGATTATAAAGTTTTATGAAATCAATTGGCATTTTATTAGTAAAGTTTCATTACATCATTTATTTATTATCATTTGCATACACAAGGCGAAATTTAAAAGGTACAATAGGATATTTAGTAAAAAGTTAAGTCTCCCAGTGCTGTCCCCAGTTCCCAGTTCTCTCCAAAGGCAACCACTGTAAGCAGGTTCTTATGTGTTCTTTCAGAGCCATTGTAGTTCATACACAAATATATATATAAGATGTCTTTTTATTTTTTTAATTTTTATTTTATAGAGATAGGGTTTTGCCGTGTTACCCAGGCTGGTCTCAAACTCCTGGGCTCAAGCAGTCCACCTGCCTCAGCCTCCCAAAGTGCTGGGATTACGGACATGAGCCACTATACCTGGCCAACGTTAGTGGCTTTTAAAAAGAAAAGATGGCTGAGCCCATGTCTAAGTTATTAGACGTAATAACTTAGTCCATAGAAAAATAGAAACAATGTCTGGGAAAATATAGACAATTAAATAGGCCCTTCCAACCCTAGAGTTTAATAATGCTCTTTCTCAATATGTTGTAATCCCAGCACTTTGGGAGGCTAAGATGGACAGATCCCTTGAGTTCAGGAGTTCAAGACCAGGCCAGCCTGGGCAATATGACAAAACCCCATCTCGCCGGGTGCGGTGGCTCAAGCCTGTAATCCCAGCACTTTGGGAGGCCGAGGCGGGTGGATCACGAGGTCAAGAGATTGAGACCATCCTGATCAACATAGTGAAACCCCGTCTCTACTAAAAAATACAAAAAATCAGCCGGGCATGGTGGCGCTTGCCTGTAATCCCATCTACTCAGGAGGCTGACGCAGGAGAATTGCCTGAACCCAGGAAGCGGAGGTTGCGGTGAGCCGAGATCACGCCATTGCACTCTAGCCTGGGTAACAAGAGTGAAACTCCGTCTCAAAAAAAAAACAAACAAAAAAAAAACCCATCTCTACAAAAAGGAAACAAAAACATTTAGCCAAGTGTTGTGGCAGGTGCCTGAAGTTCTAGCTACTCAGGAGGCTGAGGTGAGAGGATCACTTGAGTCTGTGAGGCAGAGGTTGCAGTGAGCCTTGATCACACCACTACATTTCAACCTGGGCAACAGAGTGAGACACTGTCTCAAAAAAAAAAAAAAAAGACACTAATATTGCAGGGCACAGTGGTTCACACTTGTAATCCCAGCTACTCAGGAAGCTGAAGCAGGAGGATTGCTTGAGCCCAGGAGTATGAGGCTGTGGTGATCATGCCACTGCACTCCTGCTTGGGTAACAGAGATCCCATCTCTTAAAATAAATAAATAAATAAAAATAAGAAAATAAAATGCATTTAAAAAGACACTAATGTCAGCATATTGTGCATATTCTTCTGTATCTTTATTCACTTGACAAATTATTTTGTAAATTTTAATAAATGCATATAAACTCACCTTATTCCTTTTAATAGTTATGTAGTATTCCATTGTCTATATGCACCTTAGTTAATCAGTCCCATTTGAGAAACATGTATTTCAACTGTTTTGCTGTTACAACCAGTTCTGTCTTCGGTGAATATCCTTGTAGGTGGCTTTTGCCCAAATGTGTAAGTACAGAATACGTTTTTAGATTTAGAATTGCCTAAAGAGTATGTACATTTTTAAATTTTAGTAGACATTGACAAATTTTTGTCCTTAGAGTTACACCAATCCATAGCTTTTACCAACAATATAACTCCCAAGATGTTATTTTTAATCATTCATTTTATTTAGAGATAAAAAAAATATTTTGTAATGTAATTCTTCCAACTTTCCTTAAATATATAAATAGAAAACTGAGCCTGATTGTAGAAATTGGTTCATTCATACATCAAGCCTTTATGTAATACACTCTATTCATGTTTATTGTGTGAAACAGATCAAATGATGAAAACAGATATCATGATACAACGTTAGCCTGGTGCAGTGGCTCATACCCAGCACTTTGGGAGATGGAGGCAGGAGGATCACTTGAGCCTACGTGTTTAAGGATGCAGTGAGCTGT